TTTCAGGACTGTCTGACACATCCTTTTGTTAACACATTGTCTCAATGTGATCACCAGCTTTTGCAGGGTGTGCTCAGAATCTATAAATCTTCTTTCAGAATGTTGTCGCTGCCCTTCACTGCCTGACAGGAAGGCAAAGGGCTGATCTCAGATGGTTCATGATGGACTTGAGTGTCTAAAACCTGTGGGTAACAGTTATCCCTTCAGTCACAATGAGAGTATGCTCACTTTGCTTGGGATGCTGGAAAACTGATTTCCTTAAGATTTAAAAATGCTGCTGCAGTGGCTAAGTCCATAAGGAGGTGGCACTGATGGTTGTCACCATGAACTGCACAAAGACAGTCTCTTAGCACATTGATGAGTAACAGACAAAAGCTCAGAGGCACAAAGAAGCTCAGTAATGTCCCAGTTGGCTCACCAGTCTTCTTGTGAAATCAGGATCTCTGGATAATGGCAGAAGCACAGATGAAAAACATGCTTTCACCAGGGCTGTGTTTTCATTTTGGGCAAAACTGGTGATAACATAGAGTACAACCTGCCTTGAGATACATGATATGAAGGTGATATGATTCCTTCTGATTTAGGAGACCTATGATACAAGTTGACTTATGTGGAATCTTTCAGTGAGTCACAGCTTTGCCATCTCAAGTTCCAGATGAGCAGCTCAGCCCAGGTCCTGTACTTCAAGTTCTTTTGCTTCACAAGGAGCTTGTCCTGAAGATGGTGACCCCTTTACCTCCAGGAACAGCTTCACAGTCTGTGGTGCTCTGCTTCAGAGCAATCCCACCTGTGACACCCAGCATGATGTCTGGGGGGCAGGAGCAAAGATCCAAAGTGTCCCCCAGCACACAAGAGTAACTCTGTGTGCTCCTTGCACACGCTCATCCTTGTGAGAATGTGTGTGCAGGAGTGCAAGTGAAACCAGTTTTGATTTAGTTTTGTTTGAGAGTCAAAGACTCTCCTTTCCTAGGAGGTCTCACGTGGTGGCCACAATGTCACCGCACTATGTCACGCAGTGAGAGGGGGTGACACACACTGGTAAGTGCTGCACATGGTGAGGAGGAGGCAGGGCAGGGCCTGAAATCCCTCTGCATTAACAAGGAATGTCCTTGGGACAGGAGGCACATCCCAGCTGAGCTCTGTACCCAAACCCACAGCACCTTCTCTGCACACGCAGCAGTCGGTTTGATGAACAGGCAAGGGAAATCCATAGACAGAATGAAGACCAAAAAAATGAGAGAAATCTGGTGATTTATAAGAATACATACAAGATACAGGCCATCCAGGTAGAGCTCTCCAAGTGAATCAACTGCTGACTCTTGTGAAGGAAAGATTTTTCATAAAAGCTGAGTTAGGCCAGACAGATCCCTGGGGCAGAGGACACAGGCTGGAGGGAAGTAAGACAGGCAGAAAAGGTGACAGCAGAGAAGATTGGAAGAGAGAAAAATCCTCTGGAGAGCTCTTCCCTGTCACCTGGAATGACTGAGGTCTCCTCAAGAGAAGGAGCTCTCTACTTTGCAGGAAGGAGACTGTAAGATATTGTAAGTGGAAGTTATGCCAAGTGACTGCCTCATGAATCTCATGTAGAGAGAGTAGCAGTGGGAGATCACCATCAGCACACAACAGAAAGACACTGCCTCCTGAATTAATAACCTGAAGCAACTGTTCTGCTTCAGGCAGCCACAGGAAGATGCAAAATTCAGATACAGCTTGCATTTTCTGGGTGTTATTATTTCAGATGAAATTCAAAATCAAAGCAGGCAGAACAGGACATACTCAGAACTATGCAAACACTGCATGTGGGACTTGCCTTTTCCCCACATTAGGTGCATTTAAAGGAGGCTCAGAGCAGGTATTCAGTGTACACCATGAAATAAGACATGAGAATTAGACACAGAGTTCCTTTGCAGACAGGAACAGGAAGAAAGAAAAAAGAATAGGCTATGCCTTCCACAGCAAACACAGTCTTTGTGTCTCATTGGAAAAAGGTTTTACAGGAGAGTAAACTCACATCTCCTTGAGCTTTTCATCATCTCCTTGCAAGGTTGCCCTGCTGGCAAAACCACTCGTATCCCAGCCATGTGGAAAGGGAAGCCAAAGCACTCCCTGTGACACCAGCCACACAGTCAGGTGTTCCTCCTGTTCCTTCCTCCTGTTCCTTTCTCCTTCCCCAGGCTGACAAAGGACACCAGCCAGGCCCACCCCCAGCTCACCTCCCAGAGCCCTCCTGTCCCTTGAACATGCACAAGGCTGCCTTTAGCCATGTACCCTCACTTGCTTTTGGGACACATTAACCCTGATCCTCCCACACAGACATGTGTGCATCTCTCCAGCCTCCTGTTCTGCCTCAAGCACACTACACTCATGTCTGCAGCATCCAGCTTCAATCACTGCCTCACAGGTGTGCAATAGGTAAAACATGTACAAAAGCTGGGCACATCAACTGCACCCCCAAGCCATCAACCAACCCCCCCTAGATCCCTTCTGCAGGGGTGCAATCCAGCCTCCTGTCCCCAGCCTATAGGTACATCCAGGATTGCACTGTCCCAGGAGCAGAATCCAGTATTTGTCCTTGCTAGATCTCATATGGTTGGTGATGCACTCATGTCTACCAATATCTCTTCAAGTCCTTTCCACTCTCAGGGCACTCAATGTCTCCTCCTGATTTCGTGTCACCAGCAAACTTCCTTAAGCATTCACTCAGCTCCTGAGTTGGCCCTAAAACTGAGCACCACTAGTGACAACCACCAGCCTGATGTTACCCATTGACTACAACTCTTTGAGCCCAACCCTGCAGCCAGTTATTCCCCCAAGGAAACAGAGACAGAGCCACCCCACAGTTTTGAGCTGCAGACCCTATTACAGCACTGTCCCAGTGTACAGATACCACCAGTGGGTATCCTCCAGAGTTGAAACAGGGCAACAAACACCTGGGCAGGTATGTTGTGTATTAATCTTTCAAGTTGGGGCTGAATGAATCAGAATTCATTAATTAGGGCTGTCAGCTGCCTTGGTTTATGGGTCAGGTTTTCATAATCTAATTCTTTCAAACTCAAATCATTTCATCATTCTCTCATCATAGAAACTGCTGGTTGTGAGAAAATGAGGCAAAATCCCTTCTAAATCCTGCTGTATCACAGAACAACACCGTTGCTCTCTCTCCCTTGTATTTCTTTTTGGAAGAGTGTGCCAGTTGCCTGATACCACATTGACTAATAGGACTGAGATAAGCAGCTGTTTGCTGTTGATAGATGCAATATTGCACATACAACCTCTGTGAGCAATTAAAAGGTTTATTTATTGCTATCTCTGTAGTGTGGTTTAAGAACTCAAAAGGTCAGATACGGTGGCAACAACAACTAGCTCATATTAATTAGATGTAATTATAAAGACAAGTTTCCAGAAAAAAAAATATGAGCTGGGATCAGCCTGGTCACCAAGAGAACACTCAAATATTTGATAAAAGTGAGACTGCATATCTGGTTTGATAAGCTCAACTGTAGGCATTATCACACATGTGCTCTTACAGTGAGGAGAGAAGGTATTAATATAAGTGAAGCCTGGAGCAGTCTCTATGGTTACAGCTAACATTTTCTAATATAAGCCATTGTCTTCAGATGCTTAACTTTCCATGTTTCAACTGCTTAGGCTGAAATTTTCCATCACTGCTCATTGTTTCCAGGTGAATTCTCTAGCAATCAGGTTAGCAAATGTACTGGAGAATTCTAGCAGATTCTCATGCTGAAACAGCAATTGGAAATCGGGCAGGGACTCAATATTATCATCTGTTCCCATCCTCTCCAATTTACCCCGTGGCTTGGTGACTTTAAAAGACTCAGCAGATCCTGCTGGAGGTTTTGTGCTGAAATTTCCAAATGTGGCATCTGCTGTAGGTGGATCAGTCCCTGCTGGTCACTGGCACATGCTGCCAGACCCACTGGCCCGTGCACACAACCCCAGAGCCCCACGGAGCTCACACGGGGCACCACAGCTCTGCCCTTCCTCTGAGGGTTGTCCCCAGGGGCTGAGGGAACAGAAGCCAGCCTGAATTTTGTATCTGCAGCTCTTCAGCTGAGCAGGTTATAAATAACTGTGCCCCCCCTGCTGTAATTGTGGCAGTTCCCAGGTTAGTCCCAGCAGCACGGCCCCATGCAGGGGATCCAAACACCCCGGGGCAGAGCAGTCATTCTGCAGGACACCAGTTCTGTGGAAGAGTTTCTGGTAACAGCCCACCAAAACTACACTGGGAGAGGCAATTTAAAACTTGGACTGAAGACATTTCTTAGAACAGCCCTGTGAAAAGGAGGCATCCAAGCCTGTCCAGCTCCCACCGGTGCTGTGAGGTGCTCTGTGCCACAGCTCTGTGCCATCAGCTCCGTGAGTGCCAGGCTGTGCTCATCCAAACCATGGCACAGGGAGGGAAAGTGAATTCTGTATGTTATGCTTTGGGGCAGAGGAGCCAAGAGGTTCCTGGATACACTCAAAGAGGTTCTTTAGTCAAACTGGGATCTTAAACAACGCCTTGTTCTTTCTGCAGTGTCCTTACCCCCTGACACTTTTCACATCTTTTTCCACCACTTTTTCTATTTGGGTGGTTGTTTGCTGAGTTCAAATTTTGTGAATCACAGAACCATCAAGTCCAACCTTTGGCCAAATACACTCATGCCCACCGAACCACACTGCAAGTTGCCACATCTACTTGTTTTTTGAATGCTTCCAGGGATGGTGACTCCACCACTTCCCTGGGCAGGCTGTTCCAATGCTTAATCACTCTTTTAGTGAAGAAATTTTTCCTTATATACAGTTAGTGTGATAAACAGTAAAAAACCCAAAAAATTACAGTTGGTGACCTTAACCAACTGTAACCAATTTTCAAAAAAGAAAACCTTCCTGATACGCAGATAGCCCTAGATATTCCTCATCTCCTAATTAACTTTCACAAACTTTACCCTGTTGAAAGCATTTCCCAGCTAACTGGTTGCTGTTCTTGTGCATTGCAGGTGTCCTGTGGTTGTCAGTAGTTTCTGAGGTGTTGTACATCATGCTGTTGGTCGTCGGGTTCAGCCTTATGTGCCTCGAGCTCTTTCATTCAAGCAGTGTGATAGATGGGCTCAAGTTAAATGCCTTTGCTGCTGTCTTCACTGTGCTTTCAGGTATGAACCTTCCCTTCTTCCCCTTTTACCTGAGGAGCCACCACAAAGCAAAATCCTATAACTCTGAAGGGATAAAAACCCGAGGCTCCAAAACTTTCTTATCCCCACTTAGCATCACATTTTTCACTGTAATTTTTTTGTTCCTTTTGGCACGAGGGACTGCGTGATAAATTTGCTCCTTGCCAGGGAGAAGCGAAAATCCTTATTCCTGAATTCACAGCAGCAATGCAGTAATTATCCCTCCCCAGCCTGCACAGCCATTACCAACAGCTACAGCCTGAGCTCCATTTGCAGCATCATCACACTCATTTTCCAATAGGAAATTAAAAACACGTAGCGTTGAAAATTCTTTTTCCCTGTGCTAATCCTGGGAGTAGGTGAAAGCTGGATTCTTCACACAAAAGAAAGAAGCCAGTCTTGTTCATTAGCAAAATTGAGAATGAAAAGGGTTCTAATAATCACACTGAGGAGCAACCCCAGGAGTAATCTGGGGACATGAACATCTCTCAGAACAACTGTTTCAGGGTATTTTCATGCTCAGCCTGTACTTGTAGCCCTTCAGCACATGAACTTGAGGAATTCACTTCTCTAAAAGAAGTTATGAAATCTAACCATGTAGTTAAGTGCTCCTTCACTTCTGTGAAGATTTGCTGGCTAAAAACCCTCCAGGATTTATAGAAGCAGCCACAGCTGGCTCGTGTAGAGTGCTCCTGCATGGACCTCTCGAGCAGAAAGAACTTCTGCAATAAAAGTGCATTTTATTCTGCTGCATTTCAAGCTGAAAGACATTACAACAGGCTGTGTACATTCTGGGAAGGAGCTTGTATCTTCAGGGGTGGCTGCAAATTTTGAAATAATAACACGAAAAAAAGATCAGAAGTAGAGTTGAGATGACAAGAGAAATCTGGTAAGAACTGCCAAAGCATCTTTTTCTGCTTTGGATGTAATTTGGATTTTTTTTTTAAAAAAAAGTCAGTTCAATTTTCAGAGTCAAACTCTGTGGAATTCTTCAGCATTCAAGCAATTACTTCCATGCTGTTTCTCTCTTTCTTCACCATTAACTGCAGTTTTAAAGTTTTGTAAGGATGATGAAGTTTTCTTTCCTACACATCTTTCTATTTTTATTTTGGCCTTCCCTCTTTTTAAGCACATTGCCAAGATGGTCCAAATATAAACTTCAAAATTTTACAGGGAAAAATGATAGAAGAATAGAAAAGAAGCAAAAAACCCCCAAACCCCAACACACTGCTAGCTGTTATTTTTCCATGGTAGGGATACCTGAGGAAAGAAGAAAACTATATTTATTTAAGCCTAGTATATTTATAATGACATAGCTTAATAGAAATTAGGTAATGAAGAGGACTTTGCACTGGAGCATAACACCTCTCATTAAATTCATGCTAGAGTTCCCTCGTAAAAGTGCAATGAGACCTTCATATTTTCATAGCTCAATATCTAAAGGTTAGACAAAACTTCCTAATAGTGTGGTCATTTCTTGCTGTTCCTTAACCTCTTAGGAACCATTAAAAAAGACCCCACAAGATCACAGTTTTGATGTCACTCTTAACCTTTCACAAATTAAAAAATTTGCATGTCTCTCACGTAATATTTGTGATAAAGCGTTTTAATTAATGTGATATATTCCATAAGTGGTATTTCTAGTAAAGGTATCTGAAAATGCTTTAAAATATGTTGTCTTTTCCCAATTTCCTTAATGTCCAACTTTCCAAAGTTCCTTAGTCTTTCCCATTACTGACACCTAGAAACAGCTCTGGTCCTGCAAGGCTAGTGATCTCAAGCCAGCTATAAATGATCAATGTTTCTGCACTCCTGCCCACTCCAGGCCACCACATTCCCAGGATTTTCCATCTGCAATCTGTAATGCCCTGGACCCCAGGTGGGTGGACATTACAGGCACTGTGTCCTCTTTGCCCAGCCTTAAGCAGCCAGCTGGAGGAAAAGATGATCCTGTAAATACAGCGTTTGTTGATTGATGTCACAGGCAGCTCATTGTAGCCAAAATGTGACCTTTAAATGTAAAACAAAAAGGACCACAGGGTATCCCTGTGGAGAAAAAGGACTACAGGATATTCCCTTGGAGAACTTGGCAAGGCACATCTAACACAGACCAAACAAAACCAAATGCACACAAGACAGCATAAAAAAAGACTTGTCTTGTTTTGTTGTAGCTTGTACGTAGAAAAATGGCCCCAGCAGCACCACCAGGTACAGATCAAGCCCTTCCAGACAAAGCAAGGAACACCACAATTCCACTGTGGTTCCTGTGTTCCAGCACAGGACTTGCTGATGACCTCCCACTGACGTGTATCAGTGGACTGTCATCCCCCCCTCCCACACAGGGACAGCTCTGAGCGTTGCTGAAACCCCATCAAGGCTTTGCACGACAGGAGGGAGGAGCTCAGCCTTGCTGAGCCTCGTCCTTGCCATCTCAAACCTCCCCCTGGCTCTGAGTGACTGTGACAGGTCTCAGGGCAGGCTGTAATGTTTTATTAAGGTCGAAAAATCACCGACAGTACGTACAGAAACAGCAAAGCCCAAACTTAAGATCGAGGCGTAACTGCCAGCTGAAGAAAAATCCATTGATTCAAAAAGTATAGCAAGGTCCCAGTGCATTTTGGAAATTAAATATAGCCAGACACGAGCAAGGTGTGCACCACTTTGCTGTGCTCCCACTGGGCCACCCACCCTGCCCAAACATCGTTTCTCCTGAAGTGAATTGCTCTTTCCACCTCCTATCTTTGCAATGTCACTCCAACACGAGGCAGCTGAGCAAATCACCATGGCTCCTTGTAACAGAATGTCTTCTTGCAGCCTCTGCAGTTGTTTGTATCAAATATGACATTTGTCTTGCTCAAGGACCTGCTTAACGTGCCCACAACACAAACATGACATTCCCACACTTCCCTCCTCCAGAGCTGCCCTGAATCATCCACGTCCAGAGAGACTAATGAAGTGCTTTAGACTCTGTACATGAGCAGGAAAGAAAAGCCAAAATTTGGGGATGGAGGAATGGGAAATCAGGATCTTCCACGTGTAGGAAGGGCAACCATGGGAAAAAAATAGGTGGTCAGAGATAAAAATGAATGCTGACTTTGGTTAAGGTGCAAAGTGTTACAGGAGGACCTCACTGTACCCACTGTGGCAGAACATCGGTATTTCTTAGTGCCTTGAATTGTCACTGCAGCACAAGAGGCTTTTTGACATCGGTAGGTCCAAGGACTATTTGGGATGTGATGACCCTGCCCCCTTTCTTTAGCTAACTGCCTGAACCTACACTTTGCTGAGCTCAGTGGGGAGCATCACTCTGCACTGCCCGGGTACCAAGGCAGGAACATCCCAAATGGTTGTAGCCAGAAAACCCTCCAAGCATCAGAGCTGCTCTTGGCCAGCACTGCTTGAAAAGTGGGGTTTGATTTTCCTCAGAGAGATGTCTAAACATAAAGCTCAGGCAATTTTTTCTGCTTAAGCTGCAGAACCAGCTCAGTGGCAGAGCTAACTCAGGCCACTCTGTGATTTAACTGCAGGCCTGTTCTTTAACATCACACAGACTGCAGTGTCTAACACATTGTCTAATCTTCACCCAGTTGCAGTTCTCCCAGCAAACTATAACAGTGTCACAAAAGCATCACCAACACTGTACCACCAAAAGTAGCCCCGTGGTGTCCTCTTACCACACATCATCAGGAGTGCTGAGCTCCCCTAACTTCCTTCTGTAACTTCCAAGTGTTTTATAAGTGCTCAAATTCATGAATCTTAGCAACTGTTGAGACAAAATGTGGTTGTTTGGCATTAACACATTCAGTCTGCATTGCCTGCAGAAGCCTCTCTCCTCATTCCCTCACCTGAGGCCTGTCTGTGATGGGCTGAGTGAGATAACTGGTGGGTGGCACACCCCTGTCGTGCAGCAGCAGGGTTGGTGGTGCTCCTAATAGTGCAACATTTTCTTCAACGATTTTCTTTCTCCAACTCCTCTTTTGATTGAGAATTCAGTATGATGTAAAATAACGAGCTCTCAGTCACATCTTTCCTCTGCCCATGCAGCTCCCTCCTCCACAGTAGAACAGGAGGCATAAAAGCACAACAAAGACTTTTTCGGAGCTCTCAAAGCACCTCCAGCAGTAACTGTGTCAAGAATTGTAACAAACATTAGCACAAAAATTCCTGTTATGATCCCTGCTTCCCAGGTCTCTTGGGGATGGTGGCACACATGATGTACACTCAAGTTTTCCAAGTGACAGTCAGCCTTGGGCCAGAGGACTGGCGACCACATTCATGGGACTATGGATGGTCCTTCTGGTAAGTGTCACCTGCTTTTTTCCAGTTGTTCCATGAATCTGTTGGGAGATTGTGCATATCACCTCCAATTGCCAGGAAGGTGCATGTGAATTCCCAGCTCCCAAAGTGCCAGGGGAAGCACAAACCCCCAGGGCCTTGCAGTTCTCGAGGTGTGGAGGACAGATACGGGCGGCTGTGCAGCAGCAGCTGTGCCTATCAGCAGGTACAGAGCATTTGTAAATAAACAGCACCCACAATTGCCAACACAGATTGAGCACTCTCATTAAAGTTCAATTTAGGTACATAATTGCCATGGCATTTCAGAGACTTTTAGCTCTTTTTTTTTTTTTTTTTTGGTTTTTAATTAATGTCTCAGTTGAACCTTAGGGTGCAGCTTTTAACTCAGCTGCAGAGGAAGGTGCAGCGCTGCTGGCACGGGGATACTTCCCTGCAGATCATGAGGAGATGGCTTGGGAAAATGGACATGGCTTTTTTTTTTTCCCTCTCCCATCTATCTTTTAAAAATCACATAAAAATAATTTGGCCAAGATACATCGACTGTGTTATATTGCTTGCAAGTTTATAAGAAGCTTAACAAGAAGAGGAGGCTGTGGAGAATAAAAATACCTGCAAACAACATCACCATTCCTCTAGAGGCATCAGCCTCTTTGGATGGATAGGGAAAATACTTTCTTTTTGTCATTTCTAAATATAGCACATTATTTTCTTTCTGTCTCGAAGCAGAGACAACAACCTTTGCTAACACCAATAAATAAATACAAATACTTATGCACAGCACTGCAGGGGATTATTAGTCTTTCCTTCTCCCCTCTTTATTCTGTGTTTCATGGGAGGAGTTACCAACATTTTAGCAACATGTTACAAAATATAAATCACATTATATTTAAAATGCAGTTTATTTTGTGTCTCAGTAACGAATATTTATTGCATGTGATGATAAACTTAAAAATACACTGCATTCATATATTTATAATATTTATATTAATATTTATTAAAACTGTCATAATAATTGTATATTTTCAATATATTTAAATAACAAGGCATATTTGTCTTCAGTAATCTATTTAACAATTTACTGCAATACTCAAAATTCAGAATACTGTTAAATGTCTGGAATGATAAACACTCATTAGATTATTCTCCTTCATCTTGTGCCAGCTAAGAACCCCCATGTCTCAGAGCTGGTGGGTCCCACAGGGCATTCTGAGCTCTCCCTGGACCCACTCATCCCACCCACGCTCCAAGCCAGCTGCTGGGAGCCCAGTGTCCCACGGGGATGGAGCTGGAAGCTCTGGCTGCTGTCCAGATCCCAGCCCTGCCCCAGAGCAGCTGCTGCAGCCTCTCCCTCACTGTCCCCAGGCAGCCACAGATTTAAGGGCCAGGACTGCCCCTGGGGCAGGTCTCACTGTGGGGGACTCTGGAGATGCCCACAGGCAGGCAAATGTGTGAGAGCAACCTCCTCTCTCCCCCTATTCCTGAGGTGGGACCTCAGCTTCCCTCCACACAGTGACTGAGCTCCACTCCTGCTCTTGCAGTCACAAAACATCTCCTCAGATTTGGTGATCTCCTTCCCTCCCCTGATACCTTGCAAGGCAAGACATTTGTCTGTGCAGGATGTAAGGCAAACACAGCTCAGCCACAGCTGCCCTGGCAGCATTTTCAGCCTGCAGAGGTGCTCAGCAGCCTGAGGGAGACCATGGGGTCTCTCACACCATGCCAGTGATGGATAGCAGACCTGGAAAGGGGAGGTTGGGAAGTCAAATGCAGTAAAAAGAAGGCTTCTCCCTTCCAGCTAACACTAATCCACCACTGCTGTACAGACCAGAGAGCTACAACCTCCCCTGGCTTCACCCAGACTTAAACACCTTCTTTAAGAAGGGTTAATAAGAAATGCCCACCCAGCCTGGTGGAGTTTGAAAAGAGGTAGGAATTAATTTTTCCTCCATCTGGTTTCTGGTGATGTCCTGAGACAGGAGTTTTCAGTACCTCTGGACCAGTAATGCAACCACCAGCATTATTTCTAGCCTGCTGTAAATGTCCCACTGCAGCACCTGGTTACAGGACCTGTCAGAGCCCAGAGGACTGGAACAGCACTGACAAGTGGGGCCAGGGAACATTGTCCCCATGGCCAAGAGCCAAAGGATCTTGAGGAATCCAGACTGCCATCCCTTTCCCAAGTGCCAGTGGGGAAACTAACTTTTCCATGACTCTCTTTCCCCTCTATTGAAAGGGAATGATAAAAATGCTTCTCCTTAAAATGAGGAAGAACTGCTTGTGATCTACACAGATGTCCCAAAATTGAAAATGCACTGCTTGCTTCCTGTTATCCTGCCCCATTCCCAAGCCATTGGCAAAGCCTAGAGGTTGGTCTGTGCTCTGGCACAAGCCAGGAGTGGGTTGGGGGATTCTCCTGGCAGGGGGTTTCTCTGAGGATCAGTGGATGTTCAAGTTCAGCCCCTCTAAAGAAAATAAATATAAAAAAACTCGAGCTGTTTGAGCCACAGAGGAACTTGAGAGCCCAGCCCTGAGCTCAGCTGCCAGAGGCACCCCACCACATCTGGGACACAGCTGGCAGGGAGGGGCACTGCTGTCAAAGAGGTCTTCACCTAAGGCAGGGTGTAACTTTACAGGTAGGGAATCCATTCTTTACACTTCAAAATAAATAACATTTAACTGAGGTCCATAAAAACTAAAACAGATCCATCATAATTGCCTAATTATCATGATTTACCAACCACCAGACACTAAGAGTCTTCACTCTGTATTTCCTTCTCTGAACCTTTCAGCATTTCTGAGTGCATGATTAGAAATCATCAGAAACTTCAAAAAGAAAAATTTTCCACCAAATGTCATTCCCCAGGCACAGTAAAGCATGTAGTTTTTGCTGGCTTCTTCCTGGATACTGCTTAGGAGCCCAGCTGGAAATGTTTACAGCTGTTGGAGCTTTTCCACACACTCCATGTAGGAGGAGGACATATGCCAGGTTGGGAAGACACTGTGCCTGAACAATCACACCTAGCACGAGATTCCTTTCCACTTCTTCACCCAAGCATGGGAAACCTGAGGGAACTTTGTCACCCCAGGGGTCACTACATTTCCTTCTCATTTGGTTGCATCTGGCAAATGGGTCCAAAAATGACGAGGAAAGAGCTGCCTACACATGTCTCATTGCCTTGGGAGTCCCTGAAGGACTTGGTAGGAGCTGAATTTTGAAATCATTGAAATGAGCCATTTCTGTTTACTTCTGCTATTTCTCCCCTAGATTTTTTTTTTTTTCAGTTCATGAATATGTGTTGTTTTTCAAGTTTTGTCTAATTTGAAATGAGAAGCTGCTTCCTTGTCTGCAGGTCCTTTGCAGAATGGGAAAACAGCTCCTGCTGAGAGCTGTGTTGACAATACGTGTTTATAAGATAATGCTGCTGGGGCTGTATTCTTTCTGCTCTGCATAATTCAGACCCATTTATTATAGAAAAGGTGAAAAAAGCAGCAGGTAAAGTGTGTCACTGTCACAGATGATGAAGTCAACCCGAGTTAGTTAGGAAGCCACTGTGAACTCTGTGTAGCCAGAGCTGATGGGCTGAATGTGAGAGTCAAGGGGAGCCAGAAGACAGAGAAACCCTGCAGACAAAAGGAGGAACTCAGTGTCTTTTTTATAGCCCCATTTCATGTTCAAAAAGCATCTTAACTCCTTGAGGCCATGAGTCCCCCCCAGCCCCATCTGAACTTGAGGTCAGTGAGGTGCAGGGAGGGCAGAAGAACCTGAGGGGAAACCCTGTCCTCAGGCAGGGAACAGAGCAGCTCCCAGATGACTCTCCTTGCCAGAAGACCCAGGACAACACTTGCTTAACTTGGCCTAGTCATTTTTTTCTTCCATTTTCCTTCTCCCTCTGTCTCCTCATCTTCCTAGTTGGTACTTGCAGGTGTCCTGCCCCTGACTGCACTGTCTACACACTGGGAGTGTCAGTCAGGAAAGCCTCAGGTTGGGTCTCTCCACAAAAATGCAGATATCAGAGACCAGATATAAGCCAGAAATGCTATAAATGTCCAGGAAAGAAGGCATTACAGCAGTCTGGTGAAGGCATGAAAACCAGATTAGGAACCATCCCTGCAGTAGCACTGTGCAGTCGGTGTCCCGGGGATGCTGGAGAACTTCCACTGGTCCAAAACACATGGTCTCTGGGGCATTACTCCCTCCAGGAGTATAAGGATTTTAGCACCTGTCTGCAAGGCTTTGAGACATTTCAGAGGCAAATCAGGAGGTGTTTGGCTCTTTTGTCACAGAGTACCCATTGTTCACACTAACACTGTGCCATATGGTTCTCCATGGGATGGAGGTTGTGCCCAGCCCCTCTCCCAACCTCCTGCCTGCACCTTGAGCACGAGCCACAGGTCATTTGAGGTAAGATGAGAAGAATGGGTTTGTCACCTCTGACTTCCCTGCCTGGTCTCATGCTGTGCATGTCTGTGTCTCTCGGCATCAGAAGTATAACATGAGCTGCTGTGCTAACCCAGCTCTGTCTGCTGGTTTGTCTCTCCACAGCCTGGCCTGGGGCTCTTTCACCTGCTGCATGGCAGCCTCTGTCACCACCCTGAACTCCTACACCAAGACTGTCATCGAGTTCAGACACAAGCGCAAAATCTTCGAGCAGGGCTTTCGAGAAGAGCAGAACTTCCTAGACCAGGAAGCCATCAAGTACTTCAGAGAAAGGTCAGTGCAGTCAGTCACTCCATCAGGGGAGGTTTTCATGGGCTCTGCTAGTCCCAGCAAATCCAGGCTGTCACCCACTGGCAGCACCTGTGGGTGAAGTCTCTGAGATACCTTGAGAAGGTGTGTGTTAAACCCAAAAGGTTTTCCTTGATTTGTTTTTTCTTAAGTTTTGTGATGTCCCAGTGCCTGCCCTGTCTTATATACTCGTTAAACTCAAGACTGACAAGTCCTTACCATATACATCCAATTCATAGGGGTTCACAAGAAGCTGTGCTGCCAATGTAAGCTGATTTTCTCTCTCTGGAAAGGTAAAATTGCGGGGATGCAACAAGTGGGACAGCCATCACTTCTCAGCACATGAAATAGGCACTTCCCTATAATCCCAACAGCTTCTGAGGCACTTTCCAGCCACCAGTAGGCCACTTTGGAGCTGCCATTTTCCACAGTCACATGCCTAAAACCCATCCCTGTCTCCTCCACATAACCCATCCTCTGGAGCTGCTCCACACAAGTGCAGAGTGTACATGACAAGGCACTGCAGAAACACCCACACAGTGCCACCCACAGTGCCACCCACACTCCCACCAGGGACTTGGAGGGACCCAGAGTCCTGTCTGAGCCCCAGAGATGCTCTGTCACTCTGCCCATCACCACACCCTGCCCCACACACTCAGAGCTGGCCCCTGTGGCTGCTCTGGGACATTTGTCACCCTCATCCTGTGGTGAGAAACTTAAGGCTTTGTTTTAAAACTGTGGAATGTGAAGAACACACAAAGATGGACCTCACACAGCAGGGAAGGTGTGATGGGCTCCACAGGGGTTTGTACCTTCACAGAATGAAAAGCTGATCAGTGCAGCAAACCCTCGCCAGAAGTTTATTGCTTGAAATAACGTAAAGACATTTGGGGGACAGAAGACACAAGGATCTATTCCTGTTTGTCTGACCAGTGTGGCAGTTTCTCAGTGGTGGAAGGGGACAGAAGGTTTGCAATGATCAGCATTTCAGCAGCAAATTGAGGATCTCTTCTGAGAGAGAACTAGAGACCTTCCACAATTATTATTTTACCTTGGTTATCCTGTTGTTTGTTAGTCTGTTGTTACAGTTATTCCTCTGCTAACTTCCAAGATTTCACTCTACCTTTCAAACAGCCTGGAAGGAAGAGAGGAACAATGCAAACAACCATGGTTTGCCTAATTTTGCATTTGAAGATGACAGTGAATCCTAAAAAATTCTCTGTATGAGAAAAAAAAGCCCAAACATAGTGAAGAGGAAGGGGTCACTACATGCCTCAGGAGAAATCAGCACCCAGGCAGGGAAAACAGACAAATTATTGAAGTGACAATTACAGATTAGAGCCTGGAAGAATTATAAGGAACAATATGTTGACTTACATTGAGATATGCTAAGGAAACTTGATAGAGTACCACTACTGACCCTTCTGGAACAGTAAATAGAAAAAAAAATTAGTAGCCTAGAGGATAATAACTTTTTCTTTCACATGGGTGTTGTGGGTTTGATTTTGATTCCTCTTGCCCTCACCATATGACACAATTTCGCCCCCAGCAATTCACTCCTTGGCCACATCCCCCCAGCCCTTCCACACACACTTGGCACACACAGCTCAAGCATGTGGTGTTCCCAAACTTCATGATTATGACTTTCTTTTTTTGTATCACATTATTTTAATTGTTGTATCTGAATACATAATAGGAAGCCCAGAGACAGTGTTACCATGGGATCATTCTGGAGGTTTAAAGCTGTGCAGCAATATACCAATTTTTTTTTTTAAGTTATCAGATTCATGATCAGCTTCACTGCTGTGACCTGGGAATACTTGGACACTACAGGGGGTCCAGGGACTGTCCATTAGCAACACCCTGTTGCTACATGCTGTGGGTGCCCACAGTCCCACACAACTTCCCTTAGCTCCCATCTGCCTTTGCACAAATAGAAAATAAAATAAGTTCTCTTTCCTTCCTGTGCATATACCCAGGGATACTTCACATTCCCTCCTACTCCTCCACCTCCATGTTCCTTTTCATACCTCATGAATAAAACCCTCCAGCCTTTCTTCCTTCCAGTTGCTTTGTACATATCATCACCCTTTTTGCATGTTCCTTTGCCTCAGTGCACATTCAGCACCCCGTGTGCACACACATCTAACCTCTGGTTTGGATGGACTCTGTGCAACAGGAAAAGTTAAAGCATTATTATCATTGTGGTTATCATTATTCCCAACAGCTACATTTCTCGTCTGGGAGACAGGGAAGAAAAGTGTTAGCTCCATTTTGCCTGTTGAGAGTTTTTTGTTGGAATGTTCTTCTGCAGGCCCCTGCTCCCAGAGAAGAAATTTGCTTTATGAAAAGTACTGACAGTAAAACAGTGCTAATTTTGCAAATGCTTTCTCGAACATAATCTCATTGTACTGCACTTAATTTTAATTGTATGCAGCTTACAAGTTACAAACAGAGACAGCCAAATTCTTTGCCTGCCTGCACCCCAAGGACACAGGCTCTGTCTCTCCACAGCCTTGTTCCTGTCACTGGGAAAACGTTTAAACAGCTGCAGAAAAATCAAAGATTCACAGTGTTATATGCAACAATCATTTCCTTCCCAGGCCTGGGAGACTTCAAAAAGTCAAGACAAAAGAGACACTGTAGTTCACACCATAAAATCAAAAGATATCAGAGCTCTTCAGATATAACAGGTACAATAGCCTTCAGGGTAACTCTAAGAAATTAAACAGGTCAATTATACAGACTTGGAGGGATTATTCATGCATTAAGTGTTCTATAAAATGATCAGAATTACCTACAACATGTCACCTTTCAGTCTTTGTCCTTTTATTGTTTGTCCTTTTTTGCCGTTTTTCATCAGAATTGAATATTTGTCTAAAACTTTTGCTCACCTTTTTCAGCTTTTTTAGTTTATTAGGTGTCAGTTCTTAATAAGTCTCTCTCTTCCTTCCCTCTCAGTTTCTCTTTCTGCCCTGTTTCACATGAATACTCTTTGCCCATATGGTCTTGATCACAGTCCCTTGTCTATGGTTCACCCCCAGCTGGCAGAGGAGGAACCCTCACATACCTTTCTGCTTTCTTTGCTCTAAGGATCCCTCCAGATAAGCCAAAGGGACAATTCATTTTCTCCTACATAGACTGATAATCTGTGACAATCAGCTGAAGGAATGTCAACGTGCCAGACCTTCTCCTCCTCCCCTGCCCAGCTGTTTAGTAGCTGTGGCTGTTTTAGCAGCTTTGTCCATATGGCTGTGTAATAATTAAGACACATTCACAAAAATTCTGCTCATTTAGACCAATTGGCTACACCAACACTATAATCACATCCATTCAGGCAAGGGCCAGCACAGCCAGGTTATTCACATTGAATGTCTTTGCTTGAATTTGTCCTCAGTTTCTTACCTTCCTTTTCTCATATATTAAAAAACCCCTTTCAGCCACTCTCCTCTGACTTTCCCTGCTCCCAGAATTCTGGTGGACTTTGATTTCAGGTAAAGAATGAAAACTTCCCTCTCTGCTTCTTTGGTGTACTGGGGGCACAGAGTGCAGGTGGGGCAGATGGAGACCCCGGGCAAGAGTCACAGCTGCTGGAACAGGGACAGTTGTAGCTACAGGGAGGAAGATCTGGGGCAAGGGAATATCCAGCCTTGGGGTGAAGGTATGTGAGGCCTGGGGTGAGGGATAAAGGGCCTGAAAGGGTGGAAATCAAATCCAAGCGAACTCCTCATGGAGAGCTAGTCACTGCCTCGAGAAAGGAATAAAAGGTTAGCAAAGTGATGGGAGTAAAGTTGGATTACCCATGGCCCTCTTTTAATGATGACTAGAGGAGAGAGTAGCAACTTTTGGATGTGCATCCATGTCCAGGAGGCCAGAGGTGCTGAGTCCCACTGGAACTGAAGCCACTGCAGAGAGGGATAAAGGAGGATATCCCACCCTGGCACTGGTGGGAGAGGGGACCCTAGAGATCAGCACAGCCCTGTCTCCAGTCTGGTATCCATCCTTTTTGCTCCTTGTGAAGCAAATCTCACTGACTAGGTGCTGTTAAACCAACACACAAATTTAGCAAGTAAATCTGGAGGATTCAGCCTTCCCCAGCTCAGCCATCCGTAGCACAGCATTTGCCAGCTCGCAGCTGTCCATCAACACCCATTGTGGCATTACAGCTGATTTCACAACATTTTTCTTGCTGACTGAGCCCTTACTCTGATCTGCAAAACCAACCCAACGTCAGGCAGATGCTGCTGGTGAAATTCTGGAGTGAGCTGAGTTCAAACTGCCATTGATACCAGTGCAGACAAAATGTCCCTGCAGGGACAGAAAACGTAGTTTTGAAGTGCTGGGAGCAGTTTGAGTCAGATGGCAGGACCAAAGCTATTGCAGAGATAATAAATCAGGACTATTCCCAACACTATGAGAACCAGAACTTTTCAAACCATCCTTCACACACTCTATTTTGTCCTTTTTTTACATTTCTGTAATGTATCATACTCACAGCTTGCTTCCTCTAACTCCATTGTGCTCATGTAAGATGTGCAGATCATATTAATGCTTTCCAAAGACATGCCAACCTTTTGCTCTGATTTCCTCCTTGGTCACCCAGATAACTAAAGAGTTTTTCAGTACTGACCCAGTGTCCCTCCTATTCACAGAGTCAGTACCTTTTCCTACAGACATCAGAGTTTCCAGTGTTACTATTGCCCTTTCATTAGCACATGGGGACGAGTGTAACCTTCTGCCTTGGATTTATTCTGTACTTTATTCTGCAGTACAAAAAGGTTTATCCACAGAGCTGTTCCTTCTGGAGAATTGCATGGACTGGCAGTAAAATGATGCAGCAGTAGCAACACACCCCCCTCCAACACACACCTACTGTACAATGCTGTCGGTCCCTGACACTTAGATCCATCCTGAGGAGTGAAAGAGCGGGAGAGACACAGCCCTGAGCCCCTCATTTCTATTCCCCATGGCCTCTTTACATGAGCTGTCCCTAAGAGGGGCAAAGCCAGTGGAACTGAGTCCTTCCTGAGACCATCAGGACCTCCATAACGGGCCTGGCTGTGGATGGAGGAGCCCAGGTGTGTTGTGCTCTTACTGGTTTTCACCCTTCCATTTCTGTATATTTGGGAGCAGCCTTTGTTTCTGTTAAAGGTGCTACTTCTATATTCTCTTTTCCAGGGCTGAGGAGGAGAGGGCTGAGGCTGGGGACCTGAGGTTACAGTGCCTCCATAGCTGCTCCCCAAATAGTAAGTGACCATGGCTCGAGTGTGTCCGATACACAGTGGCTTGTCCTGTCCCCACGCTGGCTCCCTGGGGCTCAGGGTGAGGCTTGGGTTAGGAAGCTGGGGAAACAGAGGTTTGTTACTCTCCCAGACAGCATTGCCCAAGTGATAATCAACCAGCACATGAACAGTGCAAAATCCTCCACCGTTCAATTTAGGATGTGCACATATCCTATAATTTTGTGTTATCTCAAGAAGCTGTGACTTCATAGTAGTTTAAAAATACGCTCTAATTTACACCTGTATAACTTTCATTATCACTACCTTTTTTCATCTATATTTATCACCAATTCATGATGATGCATGCTATTGAATATAAAAATGATTGAAAGCAGCTTTGGTAGACAATAACTTAGTATAATTAATGCCATTTCTTGCACTTTCTCAGAAAATTGCTATGCTTTTATTCAGGCTTTGCAAAAGCTCTTGCTTTAAACTATGGGAATCAGTGGTTCAATGTACAGAGCAATGTTGGAGCACGGCTCCTACCCTGCTCTGAATACTATACTTTTTCTTTACTCTCCAGGAAAGATGTGTGCAGTTTCATGCATCTATTTCCTTGGAAAGAAAGCAAGTGATCCTTCATTCAGCGGGAGGGAGACTTGGGACAGTGACTTGCTGACTCTGCGCTCTTAAAATTTGGAAACCTGCTGGCATTTTGCTGCCTCTGTCTTGCTGAGATGCACATCTCAGCCACGTACTCGTGGAAGCTTGGTGTGTGTAACCCTAATCACTGAGGGTCCTGATCCCTCCCCAGACCTGCTGGAACTGCTCTCCAGTCCCATGTCACTGCAGGTGGTCTCCCCACAGGCATGATAGTGCTGGCACTGCTCTCCAGCTTGGTTTGTCATCAGCTCACTTGGTAACTCCTGCTCCTTGAAAATGTCATGTCAGTTATGGACTTTTCCACAGGCAGGAGATCCACACCCCTCATTTTCACAGGTCTGCACATGTCTATTGGTACAAAATTGATCTGGGTCATGTTTCCTGAGAAAATTCCCCACCTGCCAAGCTACTGGCGGGTACTCAAGTGTGCTTTTTTATTACTGAAGCCTGTCCAAAGGTCTTTGTTTCAAAGAACAAATAACAAGTCTTGACATTAGGTGTTCCAAGGAATAGGAACAAGGCTCTTGTTGGTCCTACACCCAGCCCTGCCCCAGTGCTTCAATTCCAAAGGACACAGAGCTTTACCCCCACAGTGCTGACAGCGCTGGGAAAGCAAACTGCAAAGGAGAAGCCCAGTGTCAGGGTAAAGAACAGTGGCCATTCTTCAATATTCCATCAGTCTCAGCTTCACATCTGTTACCCACTGTAATGAAATCAGATCAATATTAATGAAGTGACAGGAGTGAAGTTCTGCTCTCAGTTCACAGTTTACTTATGAATCCAATATAAGCCGCAGGATCTTCATTATTCATGCTTATTAGGGAGGAAAAAACATTAATTGCTGCTGCTCTGGATGGCACAAATCCTCACAACTCTCAGAAGAACATCTCCTTCCTTGAACAAGTCCATCAAGCCTGCACCTGACCCGAGGATTCTCCTTGATGCTGTTTCTGGCTTCACACACTCCCACTCTGTCACATCAACCATGCAACGGGCTCGTGGCCAGCAGAGAATTGGTAAGAGCAAGAGAACGATGTGAGAAGCACTTGGCTAAAGGCAGGGTGGCCCCAGAGGTTCCCCTGGCTCCCCTGGGTACCTGGGGTCTGCTTGGATGGAAGAAGGGGACACCCAGAGCAGACCAAGTCCTCACCACTGCTTGGTCACATCAGCACCCACGTACCACTAACAGAGCAAACGCCAGCAGATCACTCTGAGCACTTTATGAACACTTCCCAGAGGGGTGATCCCGAGCCATGGGGACACCAGGATGCACCACCTGAAGTTATTCCTGCTGCTCACTTCAACCAGCATTTCATTCCCTGGAGGACTTGCCAGCTGCCCTCACTTAGAAGTGCCCTGAGGATGTTCTGATTGGAACCAAATGGCAGATGAGGAATATTTGCTCGTGCTCAGACATCATGACTCTTTCTGTCCTCCCACAGAGACAAACCAGGGCATCTGTCCTTGTTGAGAGGCAAGGATTTGGGGGAGTGTCGCTGAGGAGTGAAGAGTAAAACCTTTACAGAAAAGAACACGACTGAGTGACCGTAGAAGACAAATGCTGTCACAGCCAGGTGATTTTGGAAGAGACAATATTAAAGTTTTTGAGCATCCAGGAGCACTGCGGGAGCACAGGTAGCACGAAGGGCCTTATGCCAGGACAGGATATCAGGTTCCTCTGTTGGCAAGACTAAGCTCTCTGTTTCGAGAAGTGACCTTAAATTATAAATCTCATCAGAATCTTGATCCCAGGGGAGTCTTGAACAGGACAGCTATTCAGTCTTGATATTTCTATATTAGGCCATTTAACGTCCATCACTAAACTATAATTTTCCTTTACCAGGGTTAAAAAAAAATATTTCATTTCCTTTAAACCGCTTTAACAGGGTTTAAACTTGCCTGAACTGGGNGAGTCTTCACTCTGTATTTCCTTCTCTGAACCTTTCAGCATTTCTGAGTGCATGATTAGAAATCATCAGAAACTTCAAAAAGAAAAATTTTCCACCAAATGTCATTCCCCAGGCACAGTAAAGCATGTAGTTTTTGCTGGCTTCTTCCTGGATACTGCTTAGGAGCCCAGCTGGAAATGTTTGCAGCTGTTGGAGCTTTTCCACACACTCCATGTAGGAGGAGGACATATGCCAGGCTGGGAAGACACTGTGCCTGAACAATCACACCTAGCACGAGTTTCCTTTCCACTTCTTCACCCAAGCATGGGAAACCTGAGGGAACTTTGTCACCCCAGGGGTCACTACATTTCCTTCTCATTTGGTTGCATCTGGCAAATGGGTCCAAAAATGACGAGGAAAGAGCTGCCTCCACACATCTCATTGCCTTGGGAGTCCCTGAAGGACTTGGTAGGAGCTGAATTTTGAAATCATTGAAATGAGCCATTTCTGTTTACTTCTGCTATTTCTCCCCTAGATTTTTTTTTTTTTTTCAGTTCATGAATATGTGTTGTTTTTCAAGTTTTGTCTAATTTGAAATGAGAAGCTGCTTCCTTGTCTGCAGGTCCTTTGCAGAATGGGAAAACAGCTCCTGCTGAGAGCTGTGTTGACAATACATGTTTATAAGATAATGCTGCTGGGGCTGTATTCTTTCTGCTCTGCATAATTCAGACCCATTTATTATAGAAAAGGTGAAAAAAGCAGCAGGTAAAGTGTGTCACTGTCACAGATGATGAAGTCAACCCGAGTTAGTTAGGAAGCCACTGTGAACTCTGTGTAGCCAGAGCTGATGGGCTGAATGTGAGAGTCAAGGGGAGCCAGAAGACAGAGAAACCCTGCAGACAAAAGGAGGAACTCAGTGTCTTTTTTATAGCCCCATTTCATGTTCAAAAAGCATCTTAACTCCTTGAGGCCATGAGTCCCCCCCAGCCCCATCTGAACTTGAGGTCAGTGAGGTGCAGGGAGGGCAGAAGAACCTGAGGGGAAACCCTGTCCTCAGGCAGGGAACAGAGCAGCTCCCAGATGACTCTCCTTGCCAGAAGACCCAGGACAACACTTGCTTAACTTGGCCTAGTCATTTTTTCTTCCATTTTCCTTCTCCCTCTGTCTCCTCGTCCTCCTAGTTGGTACTTGCAGGTGTCCTGCCCCTGACTGCACTGTCTACACACTGGGAGTGTCGGTTAGGAAAGCCTCAGGCTGGGTCTCTCCACAAAATGCAGATATCAGAGACCAGATATAAGCCAGAAATGCTATAAATGTCCAGGAAAGAAGGCATTACAGCAGTCTGGTGAAGGCACAAAAACCAGATTAGGAACCATCCCTGCAGTAGCACTGTGCAGTCGGTGTCCCGTGGATGCTGGAGAGCTTCCACTGGTCCAAAAGACATGGTCTCTGGGGCATTACTCCCTCCAGGAGTATAAGGATTTTAGCACCTGTCTGCAAGGCTTTGAGACATTTCAGAGGCAAATCAGGAGGTGTTTGGCTCTTCTGTCACAGAGTACCCATTGTTCACATTAACACTGTGCCATATGGTTCTCCATGGGATGGAGGTTGTGCCCAGCCCCTCTCCCAACCTCCTGCCTGCACCTTGAGCACGAGCCACAGGTCATTTGAGGTAAGATGAGAAGAATGGGTTTGTCACCTCTGACTTCCCTGCCTGGTCTCATGCTGTGCATGTCTGTGTCTCTCGGCATCAGAAGTATAACATGAGCTGCTGTGCTAACCCAGCTCTGTCTGCTGGTTTGTCTCTCCACAGCCTGGCCTGGGGCTCTTTCACCTGCTGCATGGCAGCCTCTGTCACCACCCTGAACTCCTACACTAAGACTGTCATCGAGTTCAGACACAAGCGCAAAATCTTCGAGCAGGGCTTTCGAGAAGAGCAGAACTTCCTAGACCAGGAAGCCATCAAGTACTTCAGAGAAAGGTCAGTGCAGTCAGTCACTCCATCAGGGGAGGTTTTCATGGGCTCTGCTAGTCCCAGCAAATCCAGGCTGTCACCCACTGGCAGCACCTGTGGGTGAAGTCTCTGAGATACCTTGAGAAGGTGTGTGTTAAACCCAAAAGGTTTTCCTTGATTTGTTTTTTCTTAAGTTTTGTGATGTCCCAGTGCCTGCCCTGTCTTATATACTCGTTAAACTCAAGACTGACAAGTCCTTACCATATACATCCAATTCATAGGGGTTCACAAGAAGCTGTGCTGCCAATGTAAGCTGATTTTCTCTCTCTGGAAAGGTAAAATTGCGGGGATGCAACAAATGTGACAGCCATCACTTCTCAGCACATGAAATAGGCACTTTCCCATAATCCCAACAGCTTCTGAGGCACTTTCCAGCCACCAGTAGGCCACTTTGGAGCTGCCATTTTCCACAGTCACATGCCTAAAACCCATCCCTGTCTCCTCCACACAACCCATCCTCTGGAGCTGCTCCACACAAGTGCAGAGTGTACATGAGAAGGCACTGCAGAAACACCCACACAGTGCCACCCACAGTGCCACCCACACTGCCACCAGGGGCTTGGAGGGACCCAGAGTACTGTCTGAGCCCCAGAGATGCTCTGTCACTCTGCCCATCACCACACCCTGCCCCACACACTCAGAGCTGGCCCCTGTGGCTGCTCTGGGACATTTGTCACCCTCGTCCTGTGGTGAGAAACTTAAGGCCTTGTTTTAAAACTGTGGAATGTGAAGAACACACAAAGATGGACCTCACACAGCAGGGAAGGTGTGATGGGCTCCACAGGGGTTTGTACCTTCACAGAATGAAAAGCTGATCAGTGCAGCAAACCCTCGCCAGAAGTTTATTGCTTGAAATAACGTAAAGACATTTGGGGGACAGAAGACACAAGGATCTATTCTTGTTTGTCTGACCAGTGTGGCAGTTTCTCAGTGGTGGAAGGGGACAGAAGGTTTGCAATGATCAGCATTTCAGCAGCAAATTGAGGATCTCTTCTGAGAGAGAACTAGAGACCTTCCATGATTATTATTTTGCCTTGGTTATCCTGTTGTTTGTTAGTCTGTTGTTACAGTTATTCCTCTGCTAACTTCCAAGATTTCACTCTACCTTTCAAACAGCCTGGAAGGAAGAGAGGAACAATGCAAACAACCATGGTTTGCCTAATTTTGCATTTGAAGATGACAGTGAATCCTAAAAAATTCTCTGTATGAGAAAAAAAAGCCCAAACACAGTGAAGAGGAAGGGGTCACTACATGCCTCAGGAGAAATCAGCACCCAGGCAGGGAAAACAGACAAATTATTGAAGTGAGAATTACAGATTAGAGCCTGGAAGAATTATAAGGAACAATATGTTGACTTACATTGAGATATGCTAAGGAAACTTGATAGAGCACCACTACTGACCCTTCTGGAACAGTAAATAGAAAAAAAACATTAGTAGCCTAGAGGATAATAACTTTTTCTTTCACATGGGTGTTGTGGGTTTGATTTTGATTCCTCTTGCCCTCACCATATGACACAATTTCGCCCCCAGCAATTCACTCCTTGGCCACATCCCCCCAGCCCTTCCACACACACTTGGCACACACAGCTCAAGCATGTGGTGTTCCCAAACTTCATGATTATGACTTTCTTTTTTTGTATCACATTATTTTAATTGTTGTATCTGAATACATAATAGGAAGCCCAGAGACAGTGTTACCATGGGATCATTCTGGGGGTTTAAAGCTGTGCAGCAATATACCAATTTTTTTTTTAAGTTATCAGATTCATGATCAGCTTCACTGCTGTGACCTGGGAATACTTGGACACTACAGGGGGTCCAGGGACTGTCCATTAGCAACACCCTGTTGCTACATGCTGTGGGTGCCCACAGTCCCACACAACTTCCCTTAGCTCCCATCTGCCTTTGCACAAATAGAAAATAAAATAAGTTCTCTTTCCTTCCTGTGCATATACCCAGGGATACTTCACATTCCCTCCTACTCCTCCACCTCCATGTTCCTTTTCATACCTCATGAATAAAACCCTCCAGCCTTTCTTCCTTCCAGTTGCTTTGTACATATCATCACCCTTTTTGCATGTTCCTTTGCCTCAGTGCACATTCAGCACCCCGTGTGCACACACATCTAACCTCTGGTTTGGATGGACTCTGTGCAACAGGAAAGTTAAAGCATTATTATCATTGTAGTTATCATTATTCCCAACAGCTACATTTCTCATCTGGGAGACAGGGAAGAAAAGTGTTAGCTCCATTTTGCCTGTTGAGAGTTTTTTGTTGGAATGTTCTTCTGCAGGCCCCTGCTCCCAGAGAAGAAATTTGCTTTATGAAAAGTACTGACAGTAAAACAGTGCTAATTTTGCAAATGCTTTCTCGAACATAATCTCATTGTACTGCACTTAATTTTAATTGTATGCAGCTTACAAGTTACAAACAGAGACAGCCAAATTCTTTGCCTGCCTGCACCCCAAGGACACAGGCTCTGTCTCTCCACAGCCTTGTTCCTGTCACTGGGAAAACGTTTAAACAGCTGCAGAAAAATCAAAGATTCACAGTGTTATATGCAACAATCATTTCCTTCCCAGGCCTGGGAGACTTCAAAAAGTCAAGACAAAAGAGACACTGTAGTTCACACCATAAAATCAAAAGATATCAGAGCTCTTCAGATATAACAGGTACAATAGCCTTCAGGGTAAGTCTAAGAAATTAAACAGGTCAATTATACAGACTTGGAGGGATTATTCATGCATTAAGTGTTCTATAAAATGATCAGAATTACCTACAACATGTCAGCTTTCAGTCTTTGTCCTTTTATTGCTTGTCCTTTTTTGCCGTTTTTCCTCTGAACTGAATATTTTTCTAAAACTTTTGCTCACCTTTTTCAGCTTTTTTAGTTTACTAGGTGTCAGTTCTTAATAAGTCTCTCTCTTCCTTCCCTCTCAGTTTCTCTTTCTGCCCTGTTTCACATGAATACTCTTTGCCCATATGGTCTTGATCACAGTCCCTTGTCTATGGTTCACCCCCAGCTGGCAGAGGAGGAACCCTCACATACCTTTCTGCTTTCTTTGCTCTAAGGATCCCTCCAGATAAGCCAAAGGGACAATTCATTTTCTCCTACATAGACTGATAATCTGTGACAATCAGCTGAAGGAATGTCAACGTGCCAGACCTTCTCCTCCTCCCCTGCCCAGCTGTTTAGTAGCTGTGGCTGTTTTAGCAGCTTTGTCCATATGGCTGTGTAATAATTAAGACACATTCACAAAAATTCTGCTCATTTAGACCAATTGGCTACACCAACACTATAATCACATCCATTCAGGCAAGGGCCAGCACAGCCAGGTTATTCACATTGAATGTCTTTGCTTGAATTTGTCCTCAGTTTCTTACCTTCCTTTTCTCATATATTAAAAAACCCCTTTCAGCCACTCTCCTCTGACTTTCCCTGCTCCCAGAATTCTGGTGGACTTTGATTTCAGGTAAAGAATGAAAACTTCCCTCTCTGCTTCTTTGGTGTACTGGGGGCAGAAAGTGCAGGTGGGGCAGATGGAGACCCCGGGCAAGAGTCACAGCTGCTGGAACAGGGACAGTTGTAGCTACAGGGAGGAAGATCTGGGGCAAGGGAATATCCAGCCTTGGGGTGAAGGTATGTGAGGCCTGGGGTGAGGGATAAAGGGCCTGAAAGGGTGGAAATCAAATCCAAGTGAACTCCTCATGGAGAGCTAGTCACTGCCTCGAGAAAGGAATAAAAGGTTAGCAAAGTGATGGGAGTAAAGTTGGATTACCCATGGCCCTCTTTTAATGATGACTAGAGGAGAGAGTAGCAACTTTTGGATGTGCATCCATGTCCAGGAGGCCAGAGGTGCTGAGTCCCACTGGAACTGAAGCCACTGCAGAGAGGGATAAAGGAGGATATCCCACCCTGGCACTGGTGGGAGAGGGGACCCTAGAGATCAGCACAGCCCTGTCTCCAGTCTGGTATCCATCCTTTTTGCTCCTTGTGAAGCAAATCTCACTGACTAGGTGCTGTTAAACCAACACACAAATTTAGCAAGTAAATCTGGAGGATTCAGCCTTCCCCAGCTCAGCCATCCGTAGCACAGCATTTGCCAGCTCGCAGCTGTCCATCAACACCCATTGTGGCATTACAGCTGATTTCACAACATTTTTCTTGCTGACTGAGCCCTTACTCTGATCTGCAAAACCAACCCAACGTCAGGCAGATGCTGCTGGTGAAATTCTGGAGTGAGCTGAGTTCAAACTGCCATTGATACCAGTGCAGACAAAATGTCCCTGCAGGGACAGAAAACGTAGTTTTGAAGTGCTGGGAGCAGTTTGAGTCAGATGGCAGGACCAAAGCTATTGCAGAGATAATAAATCAGGACTATTCCCAACACTATGAGAACCAGAACTTTTCAAACCATCCTTCACACACTCTATTTTGTCCTTTTTTGTACATTTCTGTAATGTATCATACTCACAGCTTGCTTCCTCTAACTCCATTGTGCTCATGTAAGATGTGCAGATCATATTAATGCTTTCCAAAGACATGCCAACCTTTTGCTCTGATTTCCTCCTTGGTCACCCAGATAACTAAAGAGTTTTTCAGTACTGACCCAGTGTCCCTCCTATTCACAGAGTCAGTACCTTTTCCTACAGACATCAGAGTTTCCAGTGTTACTATTGCCCTTTCATTAGCACATGGGGACGAGTGTAACCTTCTGCCTTGGATTTATTCTGTACTTTATTCTGCAGTACAAAAAGGTTTATCCACAGAGCTGTTCCTTCTGGAGAATTGCATGGACTGGCAGTAAAATGATGTAGCAGTAGCAACACACCCCCTTCCAACACACACCTACTGTACAATGCTGTCGGTCCCTGACACTTAGATCCATCCTGAGGAGTGAAAGAGCGGGAGAGACACAGCCCTGAGCCCCTCATTTCTATTCCCCATGGCCTCTTTACATGAGC